AGTGATTAATAGTATTATAATCAATTATTTAAAACTTAATCATTAATAACTAATAAAGAAATTTTAGATTTTTAAAGTAAATTTTTATTAGTGCATTTTAAATATTTAATAAAATAAATTTATATATTTTTTTTTATAGTGTATACTTGTAATTGATAAAATATTTGGAATTAATGATACTACACAAAATATATTATAAAAGCATAATAATCTGTAGTAATTTATCAATTTATATTGTCAAATTAAACATTATTCTTTTTAAGTAAAAATATAACTAAGATTTTAATTAAACTTACAAAATTATATTATATTAATATTATTAATATTATTTATATTTTATTTTAATCGATCAATAAATGTGAGATTGATCTTATAATATTTATAAACTTATTAAATTACCATTAAATATTTTTGATTTTTTATAAATTTTACTAGATCTAATAAAATCAAATAGTATTTTTTCTATAAATTTATAAATTATATTCTTATAAAACTATTAAATTAATTTTTTTTTATATTTAATAATAAAAAAAAATGATTATTATAATAATTTTGATTCATTATATGAAATTGTAACAATAACAATGTAGACTATCTTTAATTAATGCTTAAAATTATTAGGAGTATATATTTGCAAGTATGTATATTAATATAAAATTTATAATATTATAAAATATAATTATTATGAAAAATTACAATGTTTTTTTAATGATATAAAATTAACAAATAAAGATATTATTTCTTATAAGATAGTTATTCAAATTTAACTTTATATATGTAAAAGTTTATTAATACTAACTTTTTATTTTTTATATAATTAGTTATATATATATAAAAGAATCAGATGCTTAAGCCTAATAAAAGTAGCTTATTATTTTTATCAAAAAGCAATAAAATATCTATATGTTACTGGTGTAAATCAAAAAATTATTTAATAAAATTATAGCTAAATTTTAAGAATAGTATCAAATTTATTTTATATATATAATATATCAAAATAGGTAAAATAATTTTTTTATTTATGGTCATAATAATACTAATTAACAGTCTAAGAAAAGAAAATTTGAAAAAAATTGATAACTTATAATATAATTTAAACATTAAAAATTGAGAATTAATATAATAAAAAAATACCATTTAAATATAATAATATTACAGTATTAAAGTTTAATTAGCTAATATAAAGTATTTAACTTTTACTATTGATTATTTTTCTTCTTTCTCTCTTAATTTTTTTATAAATTGTGATATTAAATAAACTATTAAATTGATAAGACCTAATATAGAAAATATAGAATAATATTGTCTTACTTTAATAAAAACTATATTAAATATAAATAGATATTATTAATTATCTTACAAATACAAAAGTTTGCAATATTATCTTAATATTTTTAATATAGAAAATTTTGATATATTTATAATAAAAAAGCATTAATAAATATTCAATAATTTTTATTTAAATATATTATTAATAACTGAAATTATAGTTGCAAATCTTTTTTTATATCTGAAGATTATAAATTTTAAAATGTTTTAATTATATATAAAAAATTTTCTATAAATTATCAATTAAATTAGCTTATTATTCATTCTATAAATATAATTTATCTATATATTATTAGTGTGAATATGATCAAAAATTATTAAAAGCTTTAACATCTATAATATTAAAATATAAATTTATATTTCTTATATATAATGTATATTAGAATAAAGAAAAAGATTTTTTATAAGAGTTGAAAGTAAAACTAATATTAAAAATTAAAAAAAAAAGAAATGCTAATAATTCATATTATTTTATAATAAAATTTCATTTATAGATTTTAAATTACATATAATATATTATTAGTATTATCATGTAATTATTAAATATATAGACATTTTGTAATAGAAAAGGAGGAAATTACCAAAAAAATTTTTTTGAATTAATGTTAAATCTTGATTTATTTTACTAAAAAAATAATATTTAGCTTATAAAATAAAAAATTTTTTTGATTTTCTCATTTTTTACTATAAACTACCTATATCATATAATTATTAATATTTCTTTTACTTATCTTTATAAATTTATATATTATATTAAATAAATCTTTTAGTTAGTTTAGTCTTTATTAAAAAAAAATTGCTTTAGAATAGTTTCTTAAATATCAAGAATTATTAATATATTAGAATTAGCTTAATATTCTTTTATAATCTAATGCAAAAAAATTTGATATGTAAAAATCATTATCTGATTTTCTCATTTGATAGAAAATCTAACACTTATATAATTTAAGTATACAAATAATTGAAAAGTTAGATTATATTCAAAATTTAAATAGCCAATAAAACTTAAAAATTTTTTTCTTTTTTCATGGATAATTTGATTAGAGACAAAGATTTATTAATTAACAATAAACGAAAAATAGTTTTTAATATCTATCAATACTTTTTAAATATTTAATGAAGCCAGAAGCAATATTATAATGTATTACTATGTAAGAAGGTTGCTATGGTTCTTGATATTGGAGAGTCTACAGTTATGCATATAGTTGCTAAACAAAATAAAAAAAATGGAGAATTTTAAATACAAAAAATTATGGGTTGACTAAAAAATAAGCTTGACCATAATTCAGTCACTGATGAAAGTAATGATACTATAAGTGCTGCTTGTTTTTTGAGTCAAGACATGTTCATTTTTTACTCTAGAATTTTCTAGTATTTTTAGAGTGTTCTTTATAAATAATATTTAATAAACAAACAAAAAAAAGTTGTAGAAAAAAATGAATTTTTTTATATTTTTTATTCAAAATAGTATTAACTATCCTTGAAAAAAACTGAAATGCTATTAATCTTCTTTGACAATGAAAAATCAAAAATGTAAGAGAAATTTTATAAAGAATAAGTATTCTCTTACGCTCTTATTATCATTATATTAATTTATTAAAGAAAATTAGTAAGATTACTATAGGTTATTAGTCTAGTCAATTACGAAAATTAACTCCTAAAAAATGCTGCAAAATTGGAATGATCATCAAGTATAATCATTTTACTACAGCAAGTAAAATGAAGACCTAACTTAAAGAAAAAATCCAGAGCTTGAAATTAGTGAATGAACTACTTATTGTGAGTTAAAAAATCTTAAATTTGTATCTGTTCATTTTAAAAAAGTTTCTCTTTTGATACAGAAAGCAAAAGAGAATCAGTTATTTTAGGCTTATGATCATGTGAATTATAATTGAAAAAAGGTAGTATTTTCTGATAAACTATACTTCAAATATTTTGTAATATCTTTCCAGTATAGTCACATAATAAAAAACCTATTACTCTAATAATAAAATACCTATTTAAAGTTTATATTTGAGATGTAATTAGCATTAAGGGAAAAATTAGCATATACATGTTTACTAAAAATTTGGATTCTCATTTATACTACCAAATTTTAAATGAATATTTATATAATAATGCAAATGCAATACATGGTAACTGATAGGTCTTTTAGTAAGATAATGACCTAAAACATACTTCCTGTAATATTCAAGATGACTTAAAAACTTATCTTCTGTGTCAAATTTTTTCTTGCCTTCCTATAGCCCTGACCTTATCATTAAGAATGTTTAAGTTATTTTAAAGAAAAATATTGAGAAAGAGATTAAGAGAATAGTAGTACAAAGGAAATAAATCTCAAAAGAAATTTTTTTAAATTAATTAGGAAGGAATGGGATGATATTAAAAACATTGTGATAGTTAACTATATTAATAGTATATCAAATCACATTAAAGCATATATTGACACAAAAGGAGGCTATACCAAATATTAATTAATTAATAAAATATATGTAATTTTAGTTTATCTTTCAGAAAATAAAATTTTTTTTTGATATTTTATTATAAAATTATGTACATATTATTAAAAAATTGAGTACTATTACTTTTATTAAAGTCTGTATTTCTGAACTTTTATGAAGTTTTATTATATTTACAAATACTTTTGATACTTCACTTTTAACATAAGTATTATAATAAAAGCTTGAAAAAAATGATCATAAATTATCAAAATAGCAGTTATTTTGTTTACTTCATATATTGGGATTTTATTATGATTGTGATGAATATCAAAGTATATTATATGAATCACCAGCAAATGTTGTCTTTTGTAATTGTTATTTATGATATTAGTTTAGAAACCTATAAAAAAATAAGATTCTAACTAGGCTAGAAGTTTTTTAGACAAATCATATTATTATTTATATCATACTACAAATTATACTTAGGTATCAAGTCATGAGGTAGTATATTTATCAGGGCATAGTCCTTTAATTATTATTTTTGAAGTGATAATTATAATATATAATAGTAATACTAATAAGCTTTATAGTGAGGTTATTCCTAATTCTCTTCTTATATAGGATTTATTAATAAAACTACCTTTATTAAGAGGAAAAAAATGAATAAATGCTAATGTCTATTGGCTTGTATCATCTAATTACAGTAAATTTTATAAGCTATATTTGATCTGTTATTAAAAAATAAATATTAACATTTTAAATAAAATCTCTTTATTTTTATGTTATTTGTAACCTGTAATTTAAATTAATAAAGAGATTTTTATAATCTGATTACTAATTTGAGAAGAATAAGAATTTAAAGTCAACCCATTTCTAATATGTATCATAAAATTTGACACCTGAAGTAAATGAATATGATTGGCTAATCTTACATTAATTAATCACGTGCAGTTTGAAAAGTTAGCGTTTGAACTAAACTATATCGAGATTAACTTTGATTTAAATAAAGTTTTATCTTTTTTTTCACAGCTTTCTTTTTGTGTGATATTAACTCTAAAAACTTCAGCACCTCTTTTTTTTTTCAATGTTTTATGAAAAATTTTAATGAAAAAAATGACCCAGCTCCTAATTTTATGTTAAAAATTTTAATTTTTATTGGTGTATAATTGCATACCTTTTATAAAAAGGGATGAGAAAAAAAAATGTAAATCAAACTTCATTTATAGGACGTCAGTCAAAGCAAAAAAAATATTTAATAAAAGTATCTTTAAGAAATAAGCCGATTATCGTCGAAGATTTTCCATTTGAAGAGGATTTGTCATCTGAGGAGAGTTCTTCATTTGATAAAAATTCTGAAATATCTTCTGATGATGAGATTATGTGAGCGAATTCTAAACTTGATAATGAACCTGAAAATACGTTAAAAAAGCTGGTTTCTGATACAAAAAATATTAAATCTAAACAGCCACTTCAATACATAGGTAACAGTATCCGAACTTAAAAAAGATATAAAATAGCCGCAAAGAAAATGGCTATATAAAATGGCAATACTATTACGCAATTTTTTCTTTCTGTACAAAATAAACTTGATACATAAACAGATGATACTCATTCAAATAAATTGGAAGGTCATGATGATATCAATTCATCATCTATGATGTCAGAAATAGAGAGTGATAATGAAATTAAATTAATAAAGTTAATTCCTTTTATAGAAAAAAAACTTCAAGATGAGATTCTATTACCTGAACAAAAATGGCGATTA